ATTGTCACATTGATTGACAATACGATTGTTGAAGTCATCAATCACTATTAACAATAGTGACTTGAACAACTTTTCAACAGTTCCAGTAAATAAGTATTAAGCAAATATGGACAGGTTTACTTAACTATTACCAGCCTACCTAGCAGATAATTACCTTAATTGACTACGTTACAATAGCTGGATAGTCAAATATCTACAATTGATAAGGGTAAAAATATCACGTATGTAGCAATTGGTTTACAATACCTTCAACTAAAAAATATATATAATTAAAATAGTAACTAAACTTATTTTAGACTTTAATTCATTGAAATTAGTGGTCAACGATAAAAATAGTAAAAAACCTTTTTCTATGTCAATGTCCATAGTTTTCGTAATTTCTATTAAGAATATTTAAAAAAAGAATTTAATTTATCAGCTGTAAAACGAAATCAAATACCATTTTAATTTTAAAAATATTGTTATTATATTATTAATATCATTAATAATATAATCACTAATAACACTATTATTTAAATCAATAGAATAAATAAAAACGAATAACTTGTCTTTATTATTTAACAACATGGCATTAGTAAGTTTAACTATAATCATTTTAATTATAACTTACAATTGTAATTTATTGCCCATTATTATAATGGACCATAAATCATATCATAATTCACCATGTGTATAGGTAACAATGTACGTTGTACACTGCTCTAAAATTTGACCGCTAGGTTGAACTTTGTGTCAATTTAAAAATGTTTATTAATATGGTTACAAATACTATATACTATTAGTAAACAATCAAGTTTGAAATCAAAATCACGTGCTATCTTATGTTATTTGTGAAAAATAAATTCAGTATTTTATCTATTTTAAATTTTTTTTAAATTAGTAACCGCGGTTAAAAATCTCTGGGAACTAAACAGCTTTATACAAATTATAGGTAGAGAAAAAAAATAAAAAATTCAAAATGGCGACAAGGTTCAGTGTTTGCTGCGTTTACCTAGAGCATAAAGGAGAAAGATCAAAGAAGTTATTATCAGTTTCTGAATCAATCCTTCAAAAAATAAATACTTTTATTAATTATAAGTATGATCCAAACCTAGAAGCATACTCTACTACGATTTGCACTAGTTGTCAAAGAAACCTTTATCTACTTGACGCAGAAAAAAGTACTGCAAGAAGTTCTTGGTTATCAAAAGTATCCAAGGTATCAACATAATTATAAAAATTTAATTATTATAAAAAAGTTTAATTCTGAGCATTTTTAATGATATAAAATATAATATTTTAATGATAATTTTAAATCAAATTTATTTTGCATAATTCATTACTCACAATGCTCACCGTCACATTGTTCATAGGGGGAAGCAGGTAGGATTCGTACAGCGGGAGCATTCGTACAGTAAGCATATCTAGACCACTCTTTGTTTTGACATATTTATATTTATGTGTGTGTGAAGACCTCTCATGCACAAAGACTAACAGCTTAGTGCCGTAGTAGCGTTATCCTAATCGTCATTGGAACAAGTCGATACGTGTTTTTGTACTGCTAAAGGAGTTTTACAAATAATCTTTGAAAACATTTATTTGTAATAATTTTTGATCCAATTAATGAAATAATTTATTATGCTTTTTGTATAAGTGTCTTATATTAATATCTAATCAATAGTTTTCTAATAACCTTATCCGTTATTTTTATTTTGAATTTATATGTTAGTTGATATGGTTGGGGTACATTCGTACAGTAATAAGTGGGGAGGATTCGTACTGTAAATACGTATGAAAAAACCCGCGCAGCCTTTATTTCGCATTTAAATAGACAGCCGTAACTGATTTCTAGGAGAAATTAGAAAAGCTTTTGAGAAAATATGTATTCTCTGCATATAGGATATATAATTTTATTTTTATTATGTTTAATGTTTATTTTGTTTCAATTTTAAACTTAATAAATGTTTATTTTCAATAAATATATTTTTAATTTAGTAATAAAGTACCAAACAAAAAACTGAATGAAGCTACCCCGCGTTTGGGGTGCATTCGTACAATCTCCATTTTTTTGCAAAAGACATCATAGTACTGTCTTGTTAGCTTTTTTCAAGACTAAACTACAATATTATTAAAGCCAGATATTTAGGTTACTCAGCAGCATTAAAATTATTTTAAAATAGCAATTATTTTTGCTTTTATACGATTTAGTGTAAAAAGTGTACGAATCCTACCTGCTTTGTATTTGTATTTGATGTATTGTATTTGTATTTGTATTTGCTTTGAACTTGTATTTGATGTTGAATCAAGTTTTTGTTTATTGTTATAGATACACGAAGAATCAGTAGTCAGGCGTGGTGTCAACATAGTAGATTTTGTCCAATCAGCACAATCTGAAATTGTCAATGACACGAAAGAGAATTTATGCCATCATTGTTTTGGTATTATTGGTAAAAATCTTTAATTTCAAATCACTTACAAATTTGATTTACTAATTTAAATTAAATAATGATATCTCTAAAGAAATAACAGATTAAACATTGTTTTTTTTGCATATTTATTGCTTATATATTTGTTTTAATATATATATATATACATATATATATATATATATATATATATATATATATATATATATATATATATATATATATATATATATATATATATATATATATATATATATATATATTATATATATATATATATACATATTACAGGCAGAACAGGTGGCTTCAAATATTATTAAGACTAAAATGGATAACAAAAATTTAATTTAAGGAGCAACATTTAATCTATCAACAGGTAGTAACCCAGTTCATATTACTGTAGGAGTTTCAGGATTAAAATCAGAAAGATCTAAATCTTTAAATATGATGTCTTTTCAGATGCTGCTAACTTTACAGACCATTTTGGAACTTTCCAAAGCTCAGGTCTTGGTTTCTAGTCTAAAAAGTTCATTTGGATCAAATTGTATTACTAAAAATGTATTTGGTAAACTAAACGAACTTCAGTCACATGTTGAATCTTTTTATTTTGCAGAACTAGTTGAGTTTAGAGGAAATCAAGGGTTAAATCCAAAATTGATAGCAATTTGGTTTATGTTTAGAATACAAGCGATTTTATAATGAATATTATAAATGAAAGGAATCTTGACCCTTTTAAAGCATTTGTGAATATAGCTGTGGATAGAGGTGGTGGTTTCTTGAAGGTTGCTTGTAACGTGTTTGATCCTGATAATCTGCATTCATCTTCTTCAAAGTATCAAGATAGTGGAGTTCAGCGTTTACAGATCTTAGCTATAGTTGAAGACGTTCCTGAATCTAACTGGAATTTAGGATTAATTATATCAAAACTTAAGCTGGAAGAGGTTAAATTTAATATGGCTTTTGACTTAAAATGTGCCAATGCTGTACTGGGTTTGTCTTCACACTCTGGGAAATGTTTGTATTGTACAGGATTATGTTCTTTAACCTCTGGAGATTTTAGAACGTTTGGAAATCTTGATTACTGGTCTCAGAAATATAATAATGATGGATGTCTAACAAAAAAAATGTCAAATTATATGAATATTATTAATAAATAGTTCATTTATTTGGATGAGGATCCTGAAACATTAATTGTTCATAAGATAGCTCCACCAGAACTGCATTTAATGATAGGTGCAGATGGAGTTGGAGCAAAGTATTGCTAATTATGTATGATCCTGGATTTAAAACTTGGCTATCTTTACATCATATTATTTTTCGAGGCTACCATGGAGTTGGTTGGGACGGAAATAATTCTAATAAAATACTTAAAAAAATAGATCTTTTGAACAAGCTGTTATAAAGGAAATCCCAGTACACCAGCATCTGATATTATCTGTAATAAATTTTAAATCAGTAAAAAATGCAGCTTTTGGAAAACATTTAAACCCAGAATATGAAACAATTATCAAAAACTTTGCGGACATTTTTAAATCTTTGCAAAATGATATTCATGATGCAAAAATAGAGGGATTAGCCTTAAAAACTACATGGAAAATACATATTATTGTAAACCACATAATTCCTTTTCTAAAATATCATAATATGGGTCTAGGAAATTTTGCAGAACAAGCTGGTGAGGCAGTGCATGCTAAGTTCAAACCTACCTGGAAAAGATATAAAGTCAGCACTGAACATAGTAAGCATAGAGAACAATTAAAAAAAGCTGTTGTTGAGACAAGAAGAATTAAATAATAATTTATGTGTTGTAATCTTTTTGTTGTGAATTTTAAAAGGGTAGATCCAAGATCTCAAATGAGTATTACAAAACACCCCAATTATATTTACCTTGTGAGGGCAATAAGATATATATTTTATATATATATATATACTATCTTAAATATCATTTAACTCACCCAAAGATTTCAAATTTAGTTCAAAAAATTTTTTGGAGTTAAGAACTGGTGACCATGTAAATTTTTTGGAGTTAAGAACTGGTGACCCCTTGTCTAAATCATAGGGGTTTTTTTTTCATACTTAGCACCGGATTTCAATTTTAAACTAAGTTGTTTTTAACTGCTATATATTAGTAAAGACTAAATCAGTCAGAATTTTTTAATTGACACGCATTTCAACCTGGCGGTCAAATTTCAGTGCAGTGTGTACCTTGTTATAATTTATTAGTAATAATGTATACATATGTGTACATTATTAGTAATAAATTATAAGTAATGTATAATAATGTAATACATAATGTAATTATTAACAATAATATTAATTTTTAATAATAAAAATAATATAATAATAACATTATTACTAACAATGTAGTTGTATTGCATTACATACAATTACATTATTAATAATAATGTTATTATTATTAACTTAATAATAATCATTATTAAATCATTAAGTTAATCCATAATTACTAATAATAGATATTTATTAGATTTAATAACTACAATCTTTTATAATAATAAATACAAAAATAATGAAACTAAAATTTAAAATATCATTAATATGATTATATGATTAATATGATTATATTAGGAGTTAAGTTAATAACAATGTATTTAGTGTTGTCAACTTGAGGGTCAACCTGGACAAAATTTGTAAAAAGCAGTGTTTGGTATTGTTATAACCGCATTTTTTAACACTTTCATTAAAAAAAAAAATGTCTAAATGGTTTTTTTATTTATTATTAAATTATGAAAAATGATTATATCAAATATTTAATGGGTAATTCAAAAAATACAATACATGGTCGTCGAAACAGTGGGCCTGGGGGATATGCTTCCCCCTCACTTTTTCTTTAATTTTAGAAATGTAGTTTTTTTTTTCAATATTCATGCAAAAGAAAAAAAATTTAAATTTCTCATTTTATTGAGTAAAATACACCAAATACAAATACAAAATGACTTCATTCAAACAAATTGAACCACTTGTCAAATATGTTTCCATCTTCTAATTCATCGACGTTGTCTCTGATCATTGTTATCAAACAAAGAGATTGAATTGTAACAATCCGTGACACTGCGTTCAAGCACTCATGCCCTTAGTGCCATGACGTTCACAAGGACAAGCATTGTTGCAAGATTTCTTTGTTGTAATGCTACAGTTACATCGGATAATGCTAAGAATGTGATCTGGTGTTGCAGCCTGAAAAGAAATACATTTTTTTAACAAATTTATTTTTCGTACCGAAAAGTTACTCATTCAAATTTAGTTTTCTCATTCTTCTTTACCTTATCTACCGTTATTGGGACCAAGGTATTGCTTTGATTTCTCCATCCCCACTCAGTTGGTTCAAGTTCAATACTCAACCAATGCAAAATCTGCAAGTGCACTCTTAAAGAATGATATCTTATAGCATCTTCTGTTGGTGGAAGTCTTTCTGGTTGAATATCTTTCAGGGATGATGTTGCTATTCGCATATACTTATATTTTCTCATCAGTGTAAGGGTTTCTTTTTCGTTGGTTCCACCTAAGATTTGATTTTTAAAAAAATTAAATTTTATTTTTATCTTTTAGTGAATCTCTTTTTATTATAATTGATTTTTTAAATGCTCTACATTACCATTAGCTTTTATAGGAATTGTATTCTAGCAAATAAAACTTATTCTTGTGATGCAAAAGGGTAGTTGAATACAAGACAAACCTTTTTAACTAAAAAAAGCCATAACTTTTTTCCCCAAATAGTTATTTGGTATATTTTTTCTTCCTGTACATAAAATTACGCTTCTAATGATACCAAACACTGCTTTTTACAAATTTTGCCAGGTTGACTCAATTTGTAGTCTATTTCGACTACAATAATTTGGCCTAAACGAAATACTCAATCTAATACCGTCCCCTCCCCCAATACAGAATTCGGAAAAAAAGGATTTTAGGTACCAAAACTGCGACAATAAAATATTTTCTATATATATATATATATATATATATATATATATATATATATATATATATATATATATATATAGAAAATATTTTATTGTCGCAGTTTTGGTACCTAAAATCCTTTTTTTCCGAATTCTGTATTGGGGGAGGGGACGGTATTAGATTGAGTATTTCGTTTAGACCAAATTATTGTATATATATATATATATATATATATATATATATATATATATATATATATATATATATATATATATATATATATATATATATATATATATATATATATATATATATATATATATATATATATATATATATAGGGGGAAAGCGGGACAACATGTCAAACGTTTTGAAAGCCCTGAGTTATTGCAAAACTATCAGCCGTGAAGTAATGATACTTTCTCAGTATTTTATGTTATTAAAATTATTCATTGCCCGCATGAACTTTCAGTTTGCAAATATAACAATTTGAAATAAATATTAAAATATAAAGTTAAAGTTTGTCATCTGGTCACGTGACCGGGGCAAGATAACTTATTATGCAAGTTTTGCTTCCAATTTTATAAAATTTTAAAAACTACTAATAACACTAACTAAAGTAACACAAAATTCGCAAAAAAACTGCTTCTAAAGAAATTAAACTTGAAGGACACTATCCATTGTGAGAAATCGAAACTGAGGAATTTTTTTTAAGAGCAAAAAGTTAACTTATGCGTATAAAATTACATTAATAATATTTAAAAAATAATAATTGGTGTTTTAAAATACAAGATGTAAGTTATGTTAGTGTATTCTAGAAATAGAGTGCTAGAACAGAGTAATAAAAAATTAGCAAAAACACATATTTCACTTAGAGCATAAACTATTAGTTTTATGACCTTTGTATTTTTTACTTGTAATTTATGTGATGAAAAAAATAAATAAATATCTAATTTTGTCTTTGACAGGCAAACAGTTTTTATTAATACATATATATACCCAGCAGGCACAATGACGTTGAAATAACGTTGAAACAACGTCGCAAACCGACCATATGCCACGTTGAAACAACGTTGAAATTTGGTTGAATTGGAAATAAAATCCGACGTCGAAAACTACGACGTTGAAACAACGTCGATGATTACGTCGTTTCAACGTTGATCTAACGTCTTATCAA